GGCTAAGAGCCACTGATGGACCTCTGCTCCATATGCTTATCTAATTCCCTCTTATAAGAACATAAGAGAAGCCAATGTTGGATCAGGCCAAAGGCCCATCCAGTCCAACACTCTGTGTCACACAGTGGCCAGAAACACCAGGGGCCATCAGGAGGTCCACCAGTGGGGCCAGGACACTGGAAGCCCTCCCACTGTTGACCCCCCCTAAGCACCAAGATGACAGAGCATCCCTTGCCCCAGAGCCCCTATCTATACCTTGTGGCTAATAGCCACTGATGGACCTCTGCTCCATATGCTTACCTAATTCCCTCTTATAAGAACATAAGAGAAGCCAATGTTGGATCAGGCCAAAGGCCCATCCAGTCCAACACTCTGTGTCACACAGTGGCCAGAAACACCAGGGGCCATCAGGAGGTCCACCAGTGGGGCCAGGACACTGGAAGCCCTCCCACTGTTGACCCCCCCTAAGCACCAAGATGACAGAGCATCCCTTGCCCCAGAGCCCCTATCTATACCTTGTGGCTAATAGCCACTGATGGACCTCTGCTCCATATGCTTACCTAATTCCCTTTTGAGGCCGTCCGTGCTTGTAGCCGCCACCACCTCCTGTGGCAGTGAATTCCATGACGTACTACCAAGCGCTGGAGTCTATACATGCGCTTGAAGGTTTAAACAGTGAAATTATTCAGCGCAGGATTGCTCATGCACACAAAGGCAGAAGTTGGGGGAGGGGGGAAAATCTCATCGTGCGAAGGGACGGTCAGACCACCGTAATCGCGATCGTTGCGAGAGACGGCTGTCCAGATCGGAGAAATCGCGGATTCAAAGCACAAATCCCCAGAAAGTAGATGATTTCCCCGGGTTCGGGAAACTCGCTAGGGAAGCGGGAGGATGACGTGAGTGAGCCCACTTTGGTGCGGGAGATGGATTCGGGTGTCTGATCCAGCAATTTTAAATGCGAGAGGGAACAGCGGTGAAACCCAATCAAAATGACCGTGTGCAGGGGTCATTTCCTGCAGGAGCGCACAGGAGCAGAACTCCGGCAGTAAAGAGCCCAGGGGGTGGGCACATGCAACAAGCCCCGCCCCCTGCTCCCAGCAGCCCTGTCAGAGCAAGAAGCAGCCAGGTAAGTTGCAGAGCTCCCCCCAACCCCCCTGGTCCAAAACAGTCCAGTGGCACCTTTAAGACCAAGTTTTATTCAGGTACAAGCTCTCCCTCCTCTGCGAGGACAGATTTACATGTCTCCCCCCCCCGTAGCTAGCAATCCAGAACAGTCCAGTGGAGCCTGAGCGGTGGGTGTTGCCTTCTGACACACTTATGCTAATGAGTTATGCTAATGAGCTCCTGCACCTCTTTTTCTACGAAATGACCCCTGACCGTGTGACCACGGCCTAACTTTTTCTCTTTGGAGTCCTTACCTGTCCGGAGATGGAGCTCTCTAGCCGGAAGGCATCTTTGAGGTACTGAAGCATCTGGAGAAACTTTGGATCCTGATAATCGAGCCTTTCTCCGAGGAGGATGTGGCTGATTACATTGGCGGTGGCGCAGCTGAAGAGGAGGCCGGGGTTGAAGGGCTGGCCTGGAAGAGAAGGGGACACATGTCAACACCGGCGCAGGATTTGAGTTCACAGCTCCCTCCGTTCCTTTGTCCACTCTTTAAACAGCAAAGGGGTCGGAGCACGCAATCTTTTTCACTGTTCCGTCTGGCGCTAAGTCAACAACAGCGCCTTCTGGACGTGATTCAACGCACGGCCAAAGTTAAGTAGAATTAAATCATTTTTTATTAAGCTCCATATGCATTCAGAAGATTTCTGTACTCACAATCAAGCTGAATAGAAGAAGAAGAGAAGAAGAGATTGGATTAATGCCCTGCCCTTCACTTGGAGTCTCAGAGGGGCTTACAGACTCCTTTCCCTTCCCCTCCCCACAACAGACACCCTGTGAGGTGGGTGGTGCTGAGAGAACTCTGACACAAACTGCTCTTTTTCAAGGACAGCTGTGCCAGAGCTTGTGACTGACCCAAGGTCACACCAGCAGGTGCAAGTGGAGGAGTGGGGAATCAAACCCAGTTCTCCCAGATTAGAGTCCACACACTTAACCACTTCACCAAACTGGTGAAATTCACATCTTTGTAATCTAATTCGGTTCACTGGCTCATGGTGAAAAAGATTGCATGCTCCGACCCCTTTGCCGTTTAAAGAGTGGACAAAGGAACGGAAGAGAGCTGTAAACTCAAATCCCGCACCTCTGGGTGCAGGAAATGACTGTTAAACAGCCATTCGGAGGGGTGCTAAAGACTTCAATTCCCAGGGGCAACTGCTCTTAAAAATATATGGCAGTTCTACTTAACTACAGTTAAACGCGGGCTGGGGGCAGCACATCCTTCTTCACCCAAAGGAGAGGGGATTGGATAAGCATATGGAGCAGCGGTCCATCAGTGGCTATTAACCAGAAGGTATAGATGGGAACTCTCGGACTGGGGCAAGGGATGCTCTGTATTCTTAGTGCTTCGGGGGTGGGGAACAGTGGGAGGGCTTCAAGTGTCCTGGCCCCACTGCTGGACTTCCTGATGGCCCCTGGTATTTCTGGCCACAGTTTGACAACAGAGTGTTGGAGTGGATGGGCCATTGGCCTGATCCAACATTGGCTTCTCTCATGTTCTTATGTTCTTTCTTACTGTCCTGCACGGGGCTCATGAATCAGCCTTCAGAAGCCCAAGTGTGAGGACAGCCCATTCTCTATTCAGACAGCTGTGTGGGGCGGAAGGAGGAGATAGAGGAGCAGTTCCTGCCTGCTATCCCCGGAGTCCCTCACCAACCTTTTTGGGCCTGGAGTCCCTTCATCACGTGCTCCGCCTCCTCTTGGATATACTCCTCTATGCTCTTTTTCCCCATCCCGAAGTTCCTCAGGGTCGAGATGGAGAAGCGGCGGAGCTCCACCCAGCGCTTGCCGTTGGACATGAGCAGCCCTGGAGAAGGAATGAAGGCCGAGGAGTGAAGCCAGAGCTTGTCTTGCAAAAGAGATGTACCAGCAGATGGGAGCAGCCGCCAGGGGTTTCTGCTGGGGGAGGAGGGAACAACAACAACAAATTTGGTTTATTCATCACTCTATCCCGGCTATTGCCGGGCCCTGGGCAATGTACAAAAGGCAAAATGCCATCACACCAATACAACTTTTAGAAGAAGAAGAAGAAGAAGAGGAAGAGGAGGAAGAGGAAGAGGAGGAGTGGAAGAAGAGGAAGAGGAAGAAGAGGAAGAAGAGGAGGAAGAGGAGGAAGAGGAGGAAGAGGAAGAGGAGGAAGAGGAAGAAGAAGAAGAGGAAGAAGAGGAGGAAGAAGAAGAGGAAGAAGAGGAAGAAGAAGAAGAGGAGAGTGGATTTATACCCCGCCCTTCACCACACAAAGGTGTCTCAGAGTGGCTTACAGACTCCTCTCCATTCCCCTCCCCACAACAGACACCCTGTGAGGTCGGTGGGGCTGAGAGAGTTCTGGCAGAAACGGCTCTTTTTTAAAGAACAGCTCTTATCAGAACTACGGCTTGCCCAAGGTCATCCAGCAGCTGCATGTGGAGGAGTGGGGAATCAAACCCGGTTCTCCCAGATTAGAGTCTGTGCACTTAATCACGACACCAAACTGACTTTTACACAGCTATGGACAATAAAAAAGTCACCTAAGCTTCCAGTTTCTCACGCCAGCAGTGTGAGGCTCTTAAGAAGAAGAAGAGCCTGGATTTATACCCCGCCCTTCACTACCCAAGGGAGTCTCAAAGCGGCTTACAATCCCTTCCCCTCCCCACAACAGACACCCTGTGAGGCGGGTGGGGCTGAGAGTGCTCTTGAGAGAAACTGCTCTTTTTCATGAGCAGCTCTTGTCAGAACTACGGCTTGCCCAAGGTCATCCAGCCAGGCGCAAGTGGAGGAGGAGTGGGGAATCAAACCCGGTTCTCCCAGATTGGAGTCCGCGCACTTAACCACTACATCAAACTGGCTCTGAGATTGGATTTATACCCCGCCCTTCACTACCCAAAGGTGTCTCAGAGCGGCTTACCATCTCCTTTCCCTTCCCCTCCCCACAACAGACACCCTGTGAGGTAGGTGGGGCTGAGAGAGCTCTGACAGAAACTGCCCTTGAGAGAACAGCTCTGAGAGAACTTGTGATTTATACCCCGCCCTTCACTACCCAAAGGTGTCTCAGAGCGGCTTACCATCTCCTTTCCCTTCCCCTCCCCACAACAGACACCCTGGGAGGTAGGTGGGGCTAAGAGAGCTCTTGACAGAAACTGCTCTTTTTCAAGGACAGCTCTTATCAGAACTACGGCTTGTCTAAGGTCATCCAGCAGGTGCAAGTGGAGGAGTGGGGAATCAAACCCGGTTCTCCCAGATTAGAGTCCGCGTACTCCTAACCACTACACCAAACTGGTGTATAAAATTCAGTATATACTGGTGTATAAAATATCCAGGTACAGTCAATAAGACAAAACCAGAATAAAAGATCCCAGGTGGCGGTTTATAATTTTCTTGTTCCCATTCTGGGCTGCCCGGCTATTTTGGTGGTGGTGGTGGTGGGGGGAACTTAAACAAAATCTATATGTGGGGAGAGGGAAAGGGTGCCAGCCGGTGCAACCAACCGTTGCTGCCCTCAGCCGAAAGCCACCAGGTTGGGGCCAGGAACGAGAAGGTCTTGGCTCTGGTTAAGGATAGCTGGACATTCTTAGGGCCGGGGATCACAATTTGGAAAAGCAGAAGCAGAAGCAGAGGAAGGAGAAGCAGAAGAAGCAGAAGCAGAAGAAGCAGAAGCAGAAAGAGTGATTCACACATGGAATTCACTGCCACAGGAGGTGGTGGCGGCTACAAGCATGGACGGCTTCAAGAGGGAATTAGATAAGCATCTGGAGCAGAGGTCCATCCGTGGCTATTAGCCACAAGGTACAGATAGGAACTCTCACTCTGGGGCAAGTGATGCTCTGTATTCTTCGTGCTTGGGGGGTGGGGGTGGGGGAAACAGTGGGAGGTCTTAAAGTGTCCTGGCCCCACTGCTGGACCTCCTGATGGCCCCTGGTATTTCTGGCCACTGTATGACACAGAGTGTTGGACTGGATGGGCCTTTGGCCCGATCCAACATTGGCTTCTCTTATGTTCTTATAAGAGGGAATTAGATGCACATATGGAGCAGAGGTCCATCAGTGGCTCTTAGCCACAAGGTATAGATAGGAACTCACTCTGGGGCAAGGGATGCTCTGTATTCTTGGTGTTTGGGGGGGCAACAGTGGGAGGGCTTCTAGTGTCCTGGCCCCACTGCCGGACCTCCTGATGGCACCTGGTATTTCTGGCCACTGTGTGACAACAGAGTGTTGGACTGGATGGGCCTTTGGCCTGATCAACATTGGCATATCTTATGTTCTTATGTTCAGAAGAAGAAGAAGAGGCGGCAGCAGTGGCAGTGGTGGCGGCTTACAATCTCCTTCCCCTCCCCACAACAGACACCCTGTGAGGTCGGTGGGGCTGAGAGAGCTCTTTCAAGAACTGCTGTTGAGAGAACAGCTTTCAGAGAACTTTGACTGAACCAAGGTCACCCAGCTGGCTGCATGTGGAGGAGTGGGGAGTCAAACCCAGTGCTCCAAACCCAGTGCTCCTCCACACTTAACCACTATACCAAACTGGCTTTCGCTGACAGGTCCTTCACTGGGGAGAGGAGAGCTTCGACCTTCCTTTTTGTGCCGTTTTCCCAACTTGAAATGCTGCCAGGCGGTTATTTGTCCTACGGGAGGGGGTTGCATGTGCAAGCATCTCCCAGGTCCATTCCAGGGCAGGAAAACAGCACAGGAAGGAAGGGCCTTGCAGCATGTTAGCACTGAGCTCCTGCATGGAACTCGCGACCGCAAGTCCCCGTTTTGGAAACTAGTTAAATGTAACGTCTCATTGGGTCCTCAGAGTTAATGATTGGCTCCGGTTCATCCACTGACTAGCCCTGTTTTAATACTCTTTAGTCTGCAGGTTCCACCACACTCTGAAACATCTTTTCTCCCTCCTCCCCTTTTTGTTTCCCCCCCCCTACTGAATGCTCAGCCCGTTCGGGGGAACCTGAAAGCTTGCGACTGCTATTTTGGCTCCTGCCAACCTAGCTGTTTGAAAGCAAGAAACTGCAAGTCGATAAATAGGTACCGCTTCGGTGGGAAGGTAGCAGCATCCCATGTGCCACGGCGTCTAGTCATGCCGGCCACGTGACCATGGAAACGTCTTCGGACAGTGCTGGCTCTTCGGCTTGGAAACGGAGATGAGCACCGCATCCCTAGAGTCGGATCCGACTGGCTTTCAAGCAAGGGAAAGTCTTGACCTTTACCTAATTGTACCACCACTAGCAGGCCCGTAGCCAGGATTTTGTGGCTTGTGGGGCAATTTTTTCCCCCTGGTGGGGCTGCCATTATTTTCCATAATGAAGGGGGGTGGTCCATGCTCCTCTCAGCTGGAGGGCACCTTTAAATCTTGCAGGAGGGAGAGAGAGGGGTGCGCACCCACGCCGCTTCTTCTCCAAAGCGTTTAAAAGATCCCTTTAATTGCTTTTGGGAAGAAGTGGGTGGCCCTTTAAGGAAAGGGGCGGAGTCCCAATAGCTGCACCATAGAACTGCAGTCTGGTGTGTTCAAAGTTCAGCTGATGGGCTAGAGGAGTGGCTGTCTGTGTGTTCCTTGGCTAATTCCAACGCTGACTGCAAATGGAAAGTAGCCCGCAGGCAGAGACGCTACCGAATCCTCTGTTGGTCTTATCAGCTGATGGGACGCTGCCTCGGTGGGTGAACTCCTCTCCGCGATCAATCAGGACTTCCTTCACGAGGTCGTAGCCATGGAGGACAACTGCCTGGTCTAAGCCGAAGTACACCATGAACACCGGCCCGTATTTTTCACTCATCTGTACAAAGAAAGCAGTGCATAGGCAATTAAAAACTGAAAGGAGGACTCAAGGGCAGAAGCCACTGTGGTATAGAATCATAGAATGTTAGAGTTGGAATTTAGTGTGTGAAAACTCCCAAAGTCCAGTGGCGCCATTAAGACCAATAAAGTTTTATTCTGGATATAAGCTTTCGTTTGCATGTGCACTTCAATGTGTCTGAAGAAGTGTGCAGGCATACGAAAGCTCATACCCAGAATTAAACTTTGCTGGTCTTAAAGGTCCCACTGGACTCAATAAGACAGGTGTGCTAAACTAGCATTGAGGAGGGGCAGCAGTCCACAGCTCGCTTGCTCACTCGCTGTCTTGTGTTGGATATACTCACAGTTCCCCAAATATCAGCCTCTACCAGGGTTTCAGCCACTGTGTGACACAGAGTGTTGGACTGGATGGGCCCATTGGCCTGATCCAGCATGGCTTCCCTTATGTTCTTATGACTGGAGCAGTGATGCTCTGTATTCTTGGTACTTGGAGGGCATTGGTGGGGGGGGCTACTGGAGTTCTGGCCCCGCTGCTGGACCTCCAGATGGCACCTGGGTTTTGGCCACTGTGTGGCACAGAGTGTCGGACTGGATGGGCCATTCGCCTGATCCAACATGGCTTCTCTTATGTTCTAAGCTCTCTCTCTCTCTTGTGTTGGATATACTCACAGTTTCTTTTTTAATTCCCAAAATATCAGCCTCTACAACGTCCTAAAAAATGCATATGGTCAGACTTCTTCTGTACATTTGTTATTCCAACACATAATAAAAAAGTACATCTCTCAATGATCTGTCCATTTTTCCTATACAGCATTAACTACAATATGTCCATTTGATCAAATATGCTCTATTCCAGATTTTATGGGAGCACTCCGAAATTGTTGACAGCTCCACGTGTTTCTATTGGCCACTGTGTGGCACAGAGTGTCGGACTGGATGGGCCATTCGCCTGATCCAACATGGCTTCTCTTATGTTCTAAGCTCTCTCTCTCTCTTGTGTTGGATATACTCACAGTTTCTTTTTTAATTTCCCAAATATCAGCCTCTACAACGTCCTAAAAAATGCATATGGTCAGACTTCTTCTGTACATTTGTTATTCCAACACATAATAAAAAAGTACATCTCTCAATGATCTGTCCATTTTTCCTATACAGCATTACCTACAATATGTCCATTTGATCAAATGTGCTCTATTCCAGATTTTATGGGAGCACTCCGAAATTGTTGACAGCTCCACGTGTTTCTATTTTGCCACCATCAACAAAGTCAACACCATTTGTACACTGGATTTCTTTACATACTAACAAGTTCACCTTTGGATTTAATGGAATTACATTACCAGCCCTGTCGAATATTAACTTCCTTACTTGAATCCTGTATTTTTTTTAATCTTCCCAATATAATGGGAAGATCACTCCAGAGAGAAGGAGCTGGGGGGCGGGGTGGGGCTTGTGCCCGCTCCGGCACGCTCCGGCCCCAAATGACCCCTGGTTCTAACTGTGTTGTTTTACATTGTTGTTACCTGCCTTGAGTCTGCCCGCGGGGAGGGCGGGATATAAATCCAAATAAATAAATAAATAATGCCAGTCGCTCACAAGGTAGAATTTTTGCTCACAAGACCCCACAGCATAGAGGGAGCATGAGGTCCCTCCCCTCTCCAAACCCTCCCCTTCCCAGACTCCATCCCCAAATCTCCAAGAATCCTCTATCCTGGTGTTGGCAACCCAGGGTTAGGGATGTGTGAATTGGCCCTCAGCCTTACCTTCTTCAGCGAAGCGGCAACGTTGCTGGCCTTCAGCTGGAGGAGGTTCCCGATGATCGGCAGGGGCGTCGGGCCAGGCGGAAGGTTCTTCTTCTTGGTCCCCTTCTTCCATACTACCAGGATGAGGAGGAAGGCGAGGCTGACGAGGAAGGTCAACGGGCTCCCGAAGAGGTCCATCCTCGCTCTCCGCGGCTGCGAGCGCAAATCGGGTGTTTACGCGACTCCTAAGAGCAGCAGAATTGGCCTCCTCAATAGCTGGGGAGGGGAGATCAGCATTCAGACTCCAGTCCTCTGGGTTAATAATCTTTACATAACCTTTGGAAGTTGGAACAGAGCTGGAATGGGCGTTTGGCAGAATTTCTGCCTTCCTCCCCGTCGCAGCTCATCTATCGTCTAGGGAGGTGGACTACGGTAGCCTTACTGGGATATTTGGTTAATATGTCCGAGTTTTGCCCAGACATAGGAGCGTGGTCATGAGTGCAGTAAATCAATCTCCCAAGAAGTATACTGCAAAAAAGGTAAAGTTAACATTTATTCAGGAAGATTCCGTTCACGTTCAGGTTGCAGTCGATAGGAGAGAGAGAACCCTGATCTGAAAAGTACTTTAACTCTCACAAATGGCCAGCTTGTCTGGCATCCTAGAGCTGGAAGGGACCTGCACAATGCAGTAAATTCACAAATACCTCCCCCCACACATGCCCGCAGTGACCACTGTTCCACGCCCAGAAGATGACAAAAAAGTGATGCGTGACATCGATCACGTTGAGGGCGTGGCCCCGATCGTCGGAGGGAAAACCATAGAGTTTTCCCTCCAACGATTGGGGCCACACCCCCAACGTGATAGACGTGGTTGCCACGCTGCACTTCAGGGGGCGGCGCTCCCCCCGGGGCCCGATTCTACAGTGACGGAAATCGGACCTCCAAAGTGGGGTTTTACCCGCCCCCCCCCCGCCCACATTTGGCAGCCCTAGGTTGGCCACTGTGTGAGAGAGGAGGCTGGACTGGTTGGACCCTCACCGGTCTGACCCAGCAGGTCTCTTCTGAGGTTCTTATCAGGAGAAGGCCTCGGCCTCTCTGCCCTGTTGCTGGCCCTCCAGAGGAACTGGTTGGCCACTGTGTGAGGCAGGAGGCTGGACTGGATAGACCCTCCCTGGTCTGTCACAGCAGGGCTCTTCTGATGTTCTTATCAGGGGAAGGCCACGGCCCCCATGCCCTGTTGTTGGCCCTCTGGGGAACTGGTTGGCTGCTGTGTGAGATGGGATCCTAGACTAGATGGACCCTCCCTGGTCTGATCCAGCAGGGCTCTTCTGAGGTTCTTCTCAGGGGAAGGCCTCGGCCTCTCTGCCCTGTTGTTGGTCCTCCAGCGAGGAACTGGTTGGCCACTGTGTGAGACAGGAGGTTGGACTGGATGGACCCTCACTGGTCTGACCCAGCAGGACTCTTCTGATGTTCTTATCAGGGGAAGGCCACGGCCCCCATGCCCTGTTGTTGGCCCTCTGGGGAACTGGTTGGCTGCTGTGTGAGATGGGATCCTAGACTAGATGGACCCTCCCTGGTCTGATCCAGCAGGGCTCTTCTGAG